AATGTTGGCCTTGTTTTCAAGTCCTGTCTTCCATTTTGTTGTTCTACACTTCCTGACCACTCTTATAAAAAGCTTGCAAGCCTCTGAAGAAACTGGAATAGGCTGTTATTTTCTCAAGGTTTACAAATTAAGTGATTGATTTTTAATGTATTCTCTACTATTTTGATTTTTAGATTTTCTTAATATTTGAAGATGTGCCTTTTATTGGGTAATGTTAATTCACGAATGTAATAATGTTATTTCACAATTATAATAATGTTACATGATCATGGGTGTGGCATTCTCTAACACAAAAGATGTGAAAAGAAAGTAGTTTTCATAAAACTCATGGCTCTGATTGCACAGTCCATTTTGCTTGTGATGTTTCTATGTCAAAGCAAAGGGCACTTTCTTTTAAGGCTACTTTCAGAACTTGTCTTTGTATTTTCTCTATAAACTATAAATGCAATTATGTCCATTTGGAGGCCAGGGTACCACATGTCACAGGCAGCCTTACATGTGTGCCATGAGAAAGTTCAAAGACTGTTAACAAAAAGAAAGTCTATGGGAACTCAAAATTTCATTTTTTAATGGTAATCCCCGAGATTTTCTCCAAGAAATAAATTGTTATTTTGTATTTTGTAACTTAAAAGCAGCTATTAGTACATTTCTGAGATATAGCAGGAGACCAAAACATTTTTGAAAAGAGAATAAATATATGAAGAGAGACTGGTTGTTTTATTTTCAGTGTGCTGAATATATTAGACTATTTATTTTGTGGGTGGATGTGATGAAATAAATATTCAGGTGTTTAGTATATGATTAAGAGTGGAATATAGATTCTTTGAAGTTGTTAAATCCATCATGTCTTTTACATAATGGACAAATCAAGTTTAAAAAAACAAACAACAACAACAACAAAAAAACAACCTTTACATAGCTTAGCTTGTTTTCTGGTGCTGTTGACCTGCAAGAGAAAATACTTTTGCATATACAGGTGAATGTTTTGCAATTTATGTATACAAGAAATTGTAGGCATTAAAGATATTTTATTGATATTTTTAGTGATTTGCATTTATTGATCAAAACTTTGAGTTATTCCTTATCATATTCAACAATTTTCTAGCTAAAATCTCCATAGATTTTTCAGACTTTAGGGGTTGGGTTTGTCTCCTGTACACACTTCTCTGCTTGTTCTCTGTCATACATTCATGTCTCTTCAGCCCCTACCACTGATCTCTCTTCTTTTACCAGCTTAAGTCCTGTTGTGCTCTCAGATACCCAAGTTAAGGAACTGTAAAGTGGCTAGAATAATACATTCAGAAATTATAGTAGTTGTGTTTATGGATTTCAAATTCATTTTATTTTTCTTAAAAAGGAAAATCCATTCATTGTGAAGAGCCACTTACAAATAGTTTAGTAAACATGTACCAAGTAATCTTGTGTGAGCTTTTTGTCACTATAACCAAATTGACTAGTTTAATTTGGACTCACAGTTTCATTAAGTCTCAGTCCATGGTCAACTGATTCCATTGTTCTGGGACCATAGTGAGGCAGAATAACATGACAAAAAGGTGGGCAGAGAAAAGCTGCTAAGCTCATGGCAACTCGGAAGAAGAAGAGAGGAGCCAGGGACAAAATATATAATCCCCAAAGGCACCCCAATGACCTGCTTTCTCTAGCCACATCTCACCTRCCTATTAGTTACCTAACCTAGTAATCCACTCAGATTAATTAAACCATTAAGCCACTGATTAGGTTAAAGCTCTTATAATCTGATCATTTTACCTCTGAGCATTCCTGCATTTTTCATATGAACCTTTTGGGGACATCTCACATCCAAACCATTGAGACTGTATAACCAAAACATCTGCTTTGCTGGAAAGGATGCAGTTCTCTAGAGCATTGGAATTACAATCCCTAACCTGTGTTCCCACTTCCTGAGTGTTTTTTTTTTTTTTTTAAAGAGAGAGTGAGAGAGGAGAGAGAGAGAGAGAATTTTTAACATTTATTTTTTAGTTCTCGGTGGACACATCTTTGTTTGTATGTGGTGCTGAGGATCGAACCCGGGTCGCACGCATGCCAGGCGAGCGCGCTACCGCTGAGCCACATCTCCAGCCCCCCTGAGTGTTAATTGAAATCCTCAAACCACTTTCAGAGGGCTTATAAAGATCCTAGGGTTCAGGGCTAGGGCTAGGGATGTAGCTCAGTGGTAAAATGCTAGCCCGGCAATGTGAGAGACCCTGTAGTCAATCCCCAGCATCACAAAAAAATTCTAGTGTTCCTACACTTAAATTTATTAATAAAATAGGTTTCTTACTCAGTTTCCATCCCGGTTTCATAAACTACGCTGTACCATATGGAGGTCTGAGCCGTTAGCTTTTATGTCTGCATATACTGGCTTTGAGGAATTATCAGGCAGCTTCTTGTCTTCAGGTGATAGACATTTAGGTAACAAAATCTCAGATATCCCAGTCCTTCTCATTGGACTTGCCTTAGCACATAAAAGCATGTACTGGACAAGGCCTGGGTCTTAATCTTGACTTCGGCCTAGAGCTGTGTTGGAAAGATATTTAAGCCTCTCAATTTCTGCCACATTGCAAAGTTAACACCCAGTTTCGGAAGGCTAATATGTATATTTTAGTATCTGTTCTCAATTTTAAAATGAGTTCCTTTCCCCACATGGGGTAAACTTTGTGTTCTTAGTAATAACTAAAAAGGCTACAGAGAAATGCCGCCTACAAAGAACAGGCTTAAAGTTGCTGTAACCTCTAGCCTTTTTTTGTTAACAGTACTTAGGAGGAGGATATTATTTGGAAAGTAGGTCTAAAGAGCTCTAGAAATTTCTATCCTTAAGGAAATTGAGTAGGGGACACAAAATTGCCTTGGAAGGGACCCAATCATCTCCTACCACCTTCTTACCCTCTACCTTCCTGTTATAAAATAATAATACCRTCTTTGTTCATCTTAAAAAGTGCGGAACTGGACATAAAATATGACAAAATAATGTGCAATTACTTTATGAGAAACCAACAACAGGAACTGTACAGCTAGTCAGGTGAGCTTCAGAGCTGCATTACTTCACCAGGATCATCCTTGCTTACTTCCACAGGGGTCTGGGGGGAAAAAAGTATGTCAGGTGGGTCCAGCGGTTGCTAGGGTGAAGGGCTCAAGCAATTGCTCTTCTTGCCAAGGGCGGCAAGGGTAGTTGTGTCCAATTCTGTCTCACCTAAGACCTCTGATGCTGGCTGCCAGGGGGCTCAACAATGTGGGAGCTGATGAGAGGTAGAAAGGAAAGAAACATCAGCTACCAGAACCCTTTGTCAACAAGTATTTATGCAAAGATGGGTTAAGTCTGGGTTGCTGAAATGGGCTGATTTAGGAAAATCCTATGAAGGTTGTTCATTTAAAAATATGCTGTTAGCATACTATAGATTAGATCACCCATGTCAGATACCTTTGGCTCTGGGCCAGAAACATCCATCCCCTTACCTCTAAATGAAGAACTTTAAAAAAATTAATAAACTCCTTTAAGAAAATATATATAAAAGAGCACATGAAAGAAAGTGGGAACTCCGAATTCTGAGTGTGAATAGTAACAGAAGTAGGTAATTTTTTTTTTTTTTGGTACCAGGGATTGAACCCAGGGGTGCTTAACCACCGAGCCACATCCCCAGCCCCTTTCCCCTTTTAAAAAAATTATTATTTTTATTTTCAGACAGGGTCTCACTAAGTTGCTTAGGATTTCACTAAGTTGCTGAGGTTGGCTTTGAATTTGCGGTCTTCCTGCCTCAGCCTCCCTAGCCACTGAGATTTACAGGCATGTGCCACCGTGCCTGGCTAACTTTTTTTTTTTTAAATACAAGAAGACAGTATTTGTTTCTAAAGTTACTAGAGTTGGATTTTCATGCTTAGTTTGTTACTTAGGGGTATACACTTCAAAGTAGGAACAAAGTCAAAGGTACACTTACCCCTCCTGGGGGATATTTAAATCCCTTCCACATCGTTCCTGCAATGAGAAGCAACCATAAGATAACGATCATTGTGGGGCTTCTTGCTCAGCTGGTGGTGTGTGCCTAGGGAAATGGATGGTTCTGGAAGGTAGTGTTCTATTCCCTGAGTTCTGGGAACTGGGCTGTCTTCATTAGAGACTAGAGGATGGATGGCCCAGCATGACAGCTCCTGGTTGAGGGTCTCTGGGGTCTACTCTAAACTAAAATGGCTCTCCATGGCCATTTTGGGGGGCAGGGCTCAGATACCAATTGTGACATCAGCCCCTGTGACACTATGGGAAAAAAATCACAGTGCACAGCTATGGGATGGTTGGCCAGGATGCCACATATGTTGGAGCTAAAGAAACCTTATCAAAAGGGCCCTTATACTCTAGTGACTATTTAGGATCTCAGTAACATCACATCCTTAATAACAACTCATTGCATACTAAAATATATAACTAGTGGCTTTAAACAATCTGATAAAAAAAAATCGCTATTCAAAAAAACAAAACCATTCTGGATTTATTGAGGGAATTAACTGGTTAGGTATACTATGAGCAATTAACTTTAATGCTATTGTTATGCTGTTCAWAAAGGAAAATTCTTGCATTTTGTGAAATGCAATTTTCATCATGCAGCATAAACCTTACAACTACCATGGGAAAAGAAGACAAGAAAGATGGACTATTATGTTCATTTCACAGCTGAAGAAATAGGCATAGAGTTGTTTAAGTGATTTGGTCAGGATTACACAATGTGGCAATGTCTCAGCTAAATATGTTTTCAGTTCTTCCATCCACATCCCCACGCTCCTCACAAAGGTCCGACTCCTTTGGGCCAATGCTCTCTTGGAAATCCTGGGGCAGATGGATTAAAAAACAAAATAAACAAGCAAAAAAACCAACAACAGGAAAAAAAAACAATTACCAAGTGTCCTGCTCTTAATATACCTAAGATTAGGGCTTGACACCTCTTCCTTCTTAAAAAAAAAAAAAAAGGTGGCAGGGGGCTTCCAAAAACACTGCTCCTGTGTGATCAGGATAATAAGACTACAAAGAGTTAAGTTTATCTAACAATGGAACCACTCTTGTGAGGCATAAAAAAATAAAACAACAACAACAACAAACAATAGGATGCAAGAAACCTAGGAGATGGTTTGCTGAAAGCAATATGTCCATTTAATATTTTCTGAGAGCAGTATGGTCTAGTGGAATGAATATGAGAGGCCCCTAGGCTTGAATCCTACCCTCATCATTGAGCTGGCCTTGGGTAAATGCCTGAGGACACTATCATCAGTAAATCTTTGTTTACTAATTCATTATTTTACTTAGTTGTTAAGTTAGTATTTTACTAAATGTTAATTGTCTGGTTTTGCATTAAATACCTTACATGAATTCCCATATGTAATTTTTACAAAAATAGTTAAGATACTGAGATATCTCCCATTGTACAGATGATGAAACTGAGGTTCAAGGAAATTAAACTTCCCCAAGGTCACAAAGCTAATAAGTGGCAAAGTTAGAACTTGAACTCAAGCTCTTGTTCTCTAGTTTTATGATCTGCCAAAAAGGTGGTTTAAAATRTACAAGCTAGGCACAGTGGTGCATGCTGGTAATCCCAGCAATTCAGAAGGCTGAGGCAGTAGAACAGCAAGATTGAGGCTAGCCTCAGAAACTTAGTGAGACCTTATCTCAAAAATAAAATAAAAAGGGCATCCCTGGGTCTGATCCTAAGGAAGGAAGGAAGAAGAGGGGAGGGGAGGGGTGAGGAAGGGAAAGAAAGGGAAGGGAGCATGAGGCAAAGAACAAGGAAGGAAGGGAGGAGGGGTGAGTTGGTACAAGATAGTACAGTATTTGTGAGGAGAAAATAAATAAATGGGAATCATCTTCAAAAGCAATACCTATAGGGCTGGGATGCAGCTCAGTGGCAGAGCACTTGCCTAGTATGTGAAAGGCCTGGATTCTATCTCCAGAATAGCAAAATCACAACAAAACAAAAGGATACTTATACCTGAATTTTGGCCTCATAGTATTCCCCAAGTCCTCTTTCCCCACCATACACCTCAAATCATCTCCCCTTCTATGGTTTACTCTATTTTCCAGGAGATCAAACTCTCTGAGGAGACTCCAGTGCTAGAGTTCTCTGGAAACCCAGCCCAACAAATCTGACCACCTACTTACAGTGACAGATCTTCCTCCAAAGCCCGGCTCCTCCGTCGTGCCTTGCTCTCACTAATGGGCCACTTCTGTTTCCACTTTAGAGGTGGAGGCTGAGTCAGAAAGAAATTTAAAGGTCAAGATGGCTCTACTTGTTGGCCTTATAGGTAAGTAACTCTGGGTGGTGACTAGAAGTACTGCTGAATGGTCCCCCAAGTCCTTATGGTCCCCATTCCCACCAGCAACTCATGATCTACTTGTCTTAAAATCCAGAAGCTAGGCACTGTCTCCAGCAGACCCCTTATACATTTCAAGAAAGAAGGGGAAACAAAAAAGGACTTAAAAGTTAAGAGTGTCCCAATGAGATGAGGAGGAGCCTGGAAACTAACTTTGTTCCCATCACATCCTGATTTCTAATTAGTGGTGAGACCTCAGCTCTCTCCAATTTGGTCAGAAATTCCAGATGGAAGTGTGAGGCAGAGCCAGAGGTGGCTACCAGGGATTTACACATAAAGTCATTACTTACCACAAACTCTGGAAATGTGCCCATGTAACATGCAAGTCCAACAAAAAGCATCCAGCCAAGTACAATCATGATAAAAAGGAAAATAATTTCTAAAATATAATCGCACAGTGAGAAACTATTCACCAAGATCTTGGCAAAGGAGCTTGCTCATGAAACCTTCAGTTGATAGAGATCTTGCATGTCAGTTCCATTCCTTGGCTCCAAAGGATCCGCAACTCCCTAATGGAGAAGTCGGAGTCTAGTAGGGCATTGTGACATCATTAATCACATGGACCAGACTCAAAACACACCAGAGATGCTTCCCCTAATCAGTAGCTAAGCAGCAAACTAATCTCTTTGTATACATTATCTCATAGAAGCACTATGAGGTAATTATTACTATTAACCCCATTTTGCTAATGAGAAAACTGAGGTGTAGAGAGCCTATGTGACTTGCACTAGGATATACAGCTGGTGCTTAAGATCCTGCCAAGACTTAGGACACAGCTGCTTGTGAGGAAGTCGGGGCGGGGGTGTCTTAATATTAGAGACAGAGCTGGAGGTATAGCTCAGTGGTACAACATTTGCCTAGCTGTGCAACCCCTACATTCTAATCCTAGGGATTTGGAAAGGTKTATTGCCTGATCCATGACGCCTGTGAATGAAACAAAATGAGTTCTATGTATATGATAGATCTATTTTCTGTCACCACAACACCTCCTTTCCATCTTGGAAGGTCTTTTCTCCAATGTAGGTTTATGGTGCCTCTGTCTAGTATGAGATAACTGTATTTATGTGGGTTTGTCTCTGTGTCTTCTATTTGTCTCTGTGTCTTCTATTCTGTTCCACTGGACTTCATGTCTGTTTTGGTACCAATACCATGCTGCTTTAGTTACTATAGCTTGGTAGTATAAGGTCTGGTATTATTATGCCTCCAGCTTCAATTTTCTCACTAAGGATTGTTTTGGCTACTCTGGGGCTCTTATTTTTCCAAATGAATTAATGATTGCTTTCTCCATTGCTATGAAGAACTTCACTGTGATTTAAATATGAATTGCATTAAATCTGTATAGCACTTGTGGTAGTAGAATGGCCATTTTGATTATACTATTTTGCCTATCTCAGAACATGAGAAGTCTTTCTATCTTTTAAGGTTTTCAATTTCTTTCTTTAGTGTTCTGTAATTTTCATTGTACAGGTCTTTCATCTCTTTTGTTAGACTGATTCCCAGGTGTTTTTTTTCTTTTTTTGAGGCTACTGTGAATGGGATGATTTTCTTAATTTCTCTTTCAGCTGATTCATCATTGGTGTATAGGAACACAACTGATTTATGGGTGTCAATTTCATACCCTGCTACTTTGCTGAATTCATTTATGAGTTTTAGAAGTTTTCTGATAGTTTATAGGATTCAAGTTGTTAACAAATAGGGATAGTTTGAGTTCTTTTTTTTTTTCTACTGTATCCCTTTAATTTCATACTTTTGCCTAATTGCCCTGGCTAGAGTTTCAAGGACTATGTTGATGAACATAGATGTAAAAATTCTTAATAAAATACTGGCAATCGCATATAAAACATTCTAAAYATTCTTGGACTGTACCATGTCCAAGCAGGTTTCATTCTAGGAATGCATATGGAAATCAATAAATATAATCCACCACATCAACAGACTTAAGGCAAGAATCAAATGATTACCTGAGTAGATGCATAAAAAGCATTTGACAAGGGGGCTGGGGATGTGGCTCAAGTGGTAGCRCGCTCGCCTGGCATGCGTGCGGCCCGGGTTCGATCCTCAGCACCACATACCAACAAAGATGTTGTGTCCGCCGAGAACTAAAAAATAAATATTAAA